CCCCCCCCCCCACCTACACACCCACCGAAAAGCAATAGTCTAGGAGCTGGTGTCCTGTGAGGAAGGTGGGAGGTGTGCCCCAGGACCTACAGAACCTTTAGTAAAGGAAGGGCTGAGCAGGCGTGGCTGCAGGGGAGGGCGTTCAGTCCCCATGCCTGGAGCTGGGCAGTTAGCAGCTTCAGGCGCTGCAGTTCCTCCTGTGGGATCCAGTGCAGTGAGGCTGCGTGGGGGCAGAGCCAGACGGGTGGATGGTGAGCAGTAGGTGTGACAGGCTGTATGCGTTGGGGAAGACGCCTGAATTTGACTGCATGCCCCCTAATTGGAAATGCTTGTCGCGTTTTATTGATGAAACATGCTTTTTGGCTGATGAGCTATTTCCTGTGCCATTAAGGTGCAAACTCTCTAGTCTGGCCTGCATAACATAGAAACAAAATCCCAGAGCAGAGTGGGAGGGTCTGGCATGCAAAGGACATCCTGCTTTCACCCACGTTCCATCACGTGCCCGGCACTGTGCAAGGTGCTTTACCTGCGTCAGAACATCCCTGCCGTCCTGCAGGCCAGAGCTTGTCTAAACCACTACTTCACACGGGGAAGCCGGGCTCACAGGGCCTGGTCGTTTGCACAGGATCACATGGCTGCGCGACAGGGCGGAGACCAGACCCTGGTCTGAATTCTCATAGGGTCCCGCTCTTCCCACCCATCCCAGCCCGTGGCTGACCTTCCGACTGAGTTCATTTCTCAGTATGGCAAGACGTCTGTCCGGTGGCAGAAAGTGGGACCCTGAGGCCCAGGGTAAAAACAGGCCCGAGGAAGGAAGGCAACAAGGAGAATCCAACACAATTTGGGGATTGTCCGAGGTTTGTTGAGCGCTGACTTCCAGGTGAGGCATTTTACCCCCACGTGTTTAGAGGGTTGGCCCTTTCAGTCCACCCGCTGACCTCCAGGGAGGGGACAGGGGCTGGAGATTGAGTTCAGTCTCCAAGGACCAATGATGTGACCAGTCCTCTCAAGTAACGAAGCCCCCAGAGAGACCCAAGAGGACAGGTTTCTGGAGCTTCCGGGTCAGTGAATGAGTGCAGGTGTGTGGAGAGGTGGGGAGGGTGCCCCACGTGGAGAGGGCGAGAAAGACCCGCGCCCCGTCCCACACCCCTTGGCTTATGCAGCTGGCCATCCGAGTTCACATCCTTTTACAACAGCATTGCCTGCCACTCGGACTGGGTCCGCTGCTGTGTGGCCTCCTGCTGCTCCAGAAAGCCCCAGGCTTTTTGCGACCCGAGCTCACAAATCCTAATCGGCCTGCCTTTCCCTGGAAGGAAATCCCTGAAACTGTACACCGTGGGCTTTTGCGGTCTCGTGCCAGCTATGCTGAACGGAAGCAGGCAAAGCACAGTGGACAGGTCTTGGACCCCGGGACTGTTGCAGACTGGGGACAGCACCCTTCTGTGGATCCACATCTGTCAAAATGGCCTGGAGGCTGTCCTGCGCTGTCCGGGTCCACAGCGGATGCGCGCGATGACGGCGGGTCCTCCGGTGGGAACAGGCGCGCCAGAGCGGCTCACGGGTGTGGCTCATGGGTACTGCACTTTGAAATCCTTGCAGGCGACTGCACCCCTGACGTGGGATGCCTGCCGGAGCTGCACATGGGGCAGGCCCACCGCAGGGACTGGGAGCCCTCCAGGCACTGCACTCCAGAGAGACACACCCGAGGGACGCTCCCTCGGGGTGTTCCTGTGCCGTTGGCCTGTTGGGCAGGACTAGCCCGGGTAGTTGCCCCTTGCAAGGAGGACGGGCCACCTGCCTCCCTCGTCCTCTCCTGGTGCCTGCCCCAGGCGGTGGGAGTGTCAGCTGAGCCGGCTCCAGAAAGCCATCCCCCTTTTCTGCACCCCTCGCTGGATCAGCGGTCAGGATGGAAAGGGTGGTGTAAGCCCCTTTAGGAAATGGGTGAAAAGTCAGGCTTTCATCCTAACTGCTTTCTGAGCTTGACGGGCCTTTCTTGCTCCCTTGTATGACCACGTTCGTCTGCGAAAATGCTTTTGTGCCTCTTGCAGACGAGGGGGGCTGGGGGAGAAGAGGGGCGATGGGAGCAGTGTCAACTCTGATTGCTCAACGGGGGACGGACCGATTTTGTCACCACGGAGGAAACAGTGAACCCAGACACCTGGGCAGCCACGGGGTGGGGGGAGGGCTTGGCGACCTCGGTTTTCCAGAACTGCGCCTGGTGGCTTTTCCCTCCTCCTGGGGGAGAGCTCGCCCTGCCATGCCGTCTTTGCAGGCTGCCCCACGTGCTGCTGCGAATCCGGATGGACTGCTGGGCCCGGGAGCACACCAACTCAGACCAGGCCGGGGCCCGCCTAGCAGGGTGTCGGGGGGGGGTTCCACTCAGTTCTGACAAGGTCTGCCCGAGACAGCATCAGACCCCACAGGTCAAAGGATGGGTCCCACTGCCCACCCATGCCCGTTGCAGAGGCCAGTCGTGAGCCCACTGTCCTTCTGATCCACCGGCTATGATCAGAGGCCCCCAGGAGCCTTCGTGGGGTTCGACTGATGTGCTAGATGGGCTGACAGAACTCCGAGGAACAGGTTCCTGTTGGGGAGGAAACATTTTCCTCTGCCCTGCAAGGTTCTCCTAAGCGGGTCTAAGAAAGGAATCGACGTGAGACAGATGAAGACGGATGAACCAGAGAAGGTCAAATTGAATTACGTAGAAGGGGGAGTCCAAAGACAGTGGGGCACAAGGAGGCCTGGCTGTCACCCCGGGCTAAGGAGAAGGCGGCGGGGCCTGGCCCTTCACAGGGAAGGAAGGCAATTCACCGGAAGACGAGAAAGAGTAAAGGTCTGATGAGCAAGTGCTCGTGGGGCCACACGGCAACAAGGGGACCTGTTATTCAAGAGGAATTTTAGCAGACTTTGCTGGGCTCCTTCCTGTCTACCACCCCAGGGCATTTTCTAACGCAGTTTTCTAGGGCACTAGCCCTCTTCCCGGAGCAGGTCCTC